AGCGGCCAAGGGAGCTGGGGGGGCTCATCCCGGAGAAAAGACAGATCAGGAGGGACCTTTTCCCACTCCAGAATTCCCTGAAAAGAGGGGGAAGCCGGGGGGGTCCCCAATTCCCAGGGAACGAGGGACAGGAGGAGAGGGAACGGCCTCCAGCTGGGCCAGGGGAGGGGTAGGTGGGATATTGGGAACAATTCCCACATGGAAAGGGCTGTCAGGCCCTGGAATGAACTTCCCAGGGCAGGGCTGGAGTCGCCATTCCCGGAGGGATTTCTGATCCCTGTGGATGTGGCCCTTGGGGACACGGATCCGGGATGGCCTTGGCAGTGCTGGGAATGGTTGGATTCCGTGATCCCAGAGGGATTTTCCAACCTGACCCATCCCTAAGGATTCTGGGCCATCCTGGCACTGTCCCAGCTCTCCACAATCCCCTGGAAGGAAGTTCCAGGAGGTCCCCAATTCCCAGGGAACAAGGGACAGGAGGAGAGGGAACGGCCTCCAGCTGGGCCAGGGGAGGCTCAGCTGGGATATTGGGAACAATTCCCACATGGAAAGGGCTGTCAGGCCCTGGAAGTGCTGGAATCCCCATTCCCAGAGGGATTTCCAATCCCTGTGGATGTGGCATTTGGGGACACGGATCCGTGCTGACCTTGGCAGTGCTGGGAATGGTTGGACTCTGCGATCCCGGAGGGATTTTCCAACCTCAACAATTCCACGATCCCTTTTCCCTCCTCTCCCACCGGAGTCATTCCCGGGAGTTTTTCCCTGCCCATCCAACCCCAAACTCCCTCAGGTGGGTGGGTGGTTTGTCCCTCAGGGAACCCAAAAGAGGGAGATTTTTCCAGGGGAAGAACCGACTCGCCAGAAAAAGGGATGGAAACCCCGCGGGCTCGGAAAACCAGCTCGAGGAAGAGCCTGGGCTCAACTAATCCCGGCTTAAAACGAGTCCTAAACCCGAGTTTAGGCCCGACCTGTGAGGTCTGAGGGAAAAACGGGAGCGGGAGGAGTGGGCGGGAAGTGGGAATTCCTCCCAGAATTTCTGCCGGAAAAGGGAACAAACCGGAACAGCTCCGAGGGGTTTGCGGTAATTAAAGGGTTTCTTTTCATTAATTAATTAATTGATTGATTGATTGATTAAATAAAATTTTTATACCAAAATTAATTTGTAAATTTGGAAATTAATAATTTACGGAACTTACAAATATTAATTCATATAATTAATTTTTAATAAGTAATGTATAAATATAATGGAATTATGATAAACAATTATATAATGATATTATAAATAATATATTTATAATAAAAATACAATATATTAAATATATATTGGGTATTGTATATTATATATTATATATTATATATTATGTATTATATAAGTTTATATAACTTAATGATTAAAAACTATAACTATTAGTTTATAATAAAATTAATTTAAAACAACATTAATAAACATAATAAAATTAATTTATAATTGATTATTGATTAATTAATTAATTAAAACCGCATTAAGCTCCGTCTAAAATTAGCTGGGAATCTCTCCAGGCAAAAATCCATAGATTTTTGTGGGAGCTATCCCGATTTTTCTGTGCTCCCAGGGAGGTCGGGGAAGGGCGGCATTCCCGAGGTTGGGAAGGACCTTCCCTGCCCGAGCGTTTGGGGGGTGCCAGGGAGGGAAAAATCCCTTTATCCCGGCGGTTGGAATTAACCCCCCGGAGCTGCTCCGTGCTGCCAGAGGGAGGGAGGGGCTCCCATCCCACTTCCATCCCGGTTTTCCACAGGTTTTGAGGGAAAAACCAACAAAAAACCCCCCCAGGGGTTGGATCGGATGCCAGCAGGGAGGGGGAATTCCCACTTGGCTGATCCAAGGAAAACGGAATCCAGGCAGATCCAGCCCTTTTAATCCTTTCCCCGCCATCCTTCCGGGAATCCTCCCAGGAATCCTCCCGGGATCCCGGAGAGGGCGGATCCACCGGGACTTTTGGGGCATTTCTGTGACTTTTCTTTCACTGTGGGTCAGTTTTTCCTCCCCTCTGGAAGTTCCGGCCCTTCCCCGATTTATTTTCGGGAATTCCGTTGCTCTCCGTCTTTCCCTCGCCTTCTGCAATTCCCTTGGAATTCCTCCCTTGGACAACCTGGCCTTTCCCGTGACCGACCCAGCCGGACTTTTTCCAACCGAAATCCTCTTTTTTCCCTGCGGGAATTGTCCCGGATTGTCCCGGTTTTCCTCATCCAGGTCCCACCGGCAGCTTTAGGGATCACCCCCGGCGTGTCGTCGTCGTCGCGCTTCCAAGAAGCCATTCCCGACTTTTATCCCAAGCTCAAATCCCGGTGGGAGCAGGTGACCCTCAGGTCAGGAAAAAGCGGGAGAAGCCGGCTCCGTTTCGCGGGAAAACTGGGAATTTTTTCCAGCTCTTTGATGGGAAGGGGCCAACCCGCCCTCAGGTGGTTCCCCCCCTCATCCTGGGAAATGCCTTTATTCCCAAAAATCGAGTTTTGTGGAGTTTCCTGGGAATCTCTGCCGGATCGTTGGACGACTCCATGGATCGTGGAATCGCTGAGGTCGGAAAAGAACTCCCGGATCACCAAATCCAAGCGTTCCCCCGACGCTGCCGAGGCCACCATGGATCCGTGTCCCCCGCTGCCGTATCCATAGGGATTTGAAATCCCTCCAGGAATAGGAATTCCGACCCTGCCAGGGCGGGACGACCCTTTCCGTGAAGGAATTTATTCCCAATATCCAACCTGAACCTCTCTCCTGGTGCCGTTTCCTCTCATCCCGGTGTGGGAAGACACTCAGATCCTTCCTGGAGCGATGTAGGATGAACGTCTGGGAATGCCGGGAGGGCGGTATCCCGGGAATTGGCGCTTTTCAGTAATACAGGGAGGTTCCGGAAGCATCGGCGCCGACGGGAGTTTGGGATGTGAGGAAAAGCTTCTCCTGGGTGGTGAGACAACTCTGGAGCCCCAGGCGTGGGATCCATGAATTCTGGATTCCCTCTGGATTGCTGGATCCGGAGGGGAGCCGTGGGAACGAGCCGGAGGCCGAGGGAAAACGCCTTGGAAAAATTCCCATCCGGGAACGGGGATGAAAGGAGTGGGGACGTGGGGGTGGCGCTGGAAACGTGGATAAGGACGGAAAATCCGGGATGCTGGAGAGGTTCTGAAATCCAGACTGACAGAGGATGAGGCAAAGCCGAAGCCAGGTGAAATCCAGGCAGGATTTGGGCCTGGAATTCCAGCCGGGAGGGTGATTCGGGAATGGAAGCCCAGGGAAGCGACGGAATGCCAGCAGGGTTTGGCCAAACGGGAATTCAGGGATGGTGGTGCTGGAATTTGGGATGAATGGTGTGTCCCGGCCATCCCATCCCATCCCATCCACTGGGATATTTCAGTAGGAAAGTCCCGGCTTTGCTTCCCGAGCATCCACAGGGATCTCCTTCCCGCCTTTCCCGGGATTAAACCCTCCCCATTATCCGAGGAATTCCTTGCCCCTCGCCCAGAGCCAAGAGTTTCCCGGAGCGGATCCAGGGAATTCCACACCCTCTCTCCCTCCCCACGCTTTGCTTCCAACCTGGAACGGCTCCGGATCCGCCGGGATCCGTTTTTTATCCAGGATTGATTTCGGATACAACAATCGTGGCTTGGAGGATCCCAGGGGAAGGAAAACTCTCCCAAATGGAATTACTACATCACAATTTTCCACTAATTAATCACTACTCTTGTGAATTCTGAAGGATTCCAGGAGAAGGAAAACGATTCCAAATGGAATTATTACATCAGGATTCTCCACTGATTCCCACCATTATCATGGCTTGGAGGATCCCAGGGGAAGGAAAACTCTCCCACATGGAATTCCTACATCAGGATTTCCACTAATTAATCACCGTTATCGTGTTTTGAAGAATTCCAGGAGAAGGAAATCTCTCCTAAATGGAATTACTATATCAGGATTCTCCACCAGAGAATTCCCAGAGATTCCCACCACAATCGTGGCTTGAAGGAAAGAAGGAAAACTCTCCCAAATGGAATTCCTACATCAGGATTTCCACTAATTAATCACTATTATCATGGTTTGAAGAATTCCAGGAGAAGGAAATCTCTCCCACATGGAATTCCTACATCAGGATTTCCACTAATTAATCGCCGTTATCGCGGTTTGAAGAATTCCAGGAGAAGGAAAACTCTCCTAAATGGAATTACTCCACCAGGATTCTCCACCAGAGAATTCCCAGAGATTCCCACTACAATCGTGGCTCAGAGGATCCCAAGAGAAGGAAAACTCTCCCACACAGAATTATTACATCAGGATTCTTCACTGATTCCCACTGCAGTCGTGGCTTGGAAAATCCCAGGAGAAGGAAAACTCTCCCACATGGAATTATTACATCAGGATCTCCCAGAGATTCCCACCACAATCATGGCTCAGAGGATCCCAGGGGAAGGAAAACTGTCCCACATGGAATTATTACATCAGGATTTCCACTAATTAATCACCGTTATCGTGGTTTGAAGAATTCCAGGAGGAGGAAAACGATTCCAAATGGAATTATTACATCAGGATTCTCCCACTGATTCCCACCACTATCGTGGCTTGGAGGATCCCAGGGGAAGGAAAACAATTCCTAATGGAACTATTACAACAGGATCTCCACTAATTAATCACCATTACTGCGATCTGAAGAATTCCAGGAGAAGGAAAACTCTCCTAAATGGAATTACTCCATCAGGATTCTCCACCAGAGAATTCCCAGAGATTCCCACTACAATCGTGGCTCAGAGGATCCCAAGAGAAGGAAAACTCTCCCACACAGAATTATTACATCAGGATCTCCCACCATGATCGTGGCTTGGAGGATCCCAGGAGAAGGAAAACGATTCCAAATGGAATTATTACATCAGGATCTCCACTAATTAATCACTGTTATCGTGCCTTGGAGGATCCCAGGAGAAGGAAAACCCTCCCACATGGAATTCCTACGCCACGATTTCCCACTAATTAATCATCATTCCCGTGGTTTGAAGAATTCCAGGAGAAGCCCAACCCCTAACCCCCCACGGATTTTCCCGCCGTTCCCGAGGGCCCCCTCACCTTGCTCCAACCTCTTCATCTGCTGGATCTGATCCACGGTTTTCCGGAGGATCTTGCATTTGTCGGGTTTGACGCTGAGGGTGTCGATGTCCCCGATGTTGGCCGACAGCAGCTCCGCCAGCTCCTCCAGGTACTTGTGCTCCTGCTCCCGCCGCCGCTTCTCCGCGCTGGGAAAAGGGGGAAGAACCCGTCACATCCACGGGAATTCGGGGGTTTTAGCCCTTTGTCATCCGGCTCAGCCTCGGAAACGGGGAAACGACTCGGGAAAACGAGAGGCGGAGACGGGGATATATCCCAGATAGCTGATTTTGGGATGGAGCCCGGGAGATCCCAAATATCCCATTTATATCTTGTTTTGGGATGGATCTTGAGAGATCCCAAATATCTGATTTATATCTTATTTTGGGATATATCTTATTTTGGGATGTACCCTGATAGATCCCAAATATCTGATTTGTATCTTATTTTGGGATGGATCTTATTTTGGGATGTACCCTGAGAGATCCCAAATATCTGATTTGTATCTTATTTTGGGATGGATCTTCATAGATCCCAAATATCTGATTTATATCTTATTTTGAGATGTGTCCTGATAGATCCCAAATATTTGATTTCTATCTTAGTTTGGGATGTATTTTATTTTGGGATGGATCTTCATAGATCCCAAGGATTTCTATCTTATTTTAGGATATATCTTATTTTGGGATATATCTCGATACATCCCAAATATCCCATTTAGACCTTATTTTGGGATGTATCCTGATACATCCCAAATATCTGATTTATATCTTATTTTGGGATGGATCTTATTTTGGGATGCACCCTGATATATCCCAAATATTTATATCTTATTTTGAGATGTATCCTGATAGATCCCAAATATCCCATTTATATCTTACTTTGGGATGTACCCTGATAGATCCCAAATATCTGATTTGTATCTTATTTTGGGATGTATCCTGATAGTTCCCAAATATCTGATTTGTATCTTATTTTGGGATGGATCCTGATAGATCCCAAATATCTGATTTCTATCTTAGTTTGGGATGTATCCTGATAGATCCCAAATATCTGATTTATATCTTCTTTTGGGATGGATCTTATTTTGGGATGGTTCTTGAAAGATCCCGAATATTTATGTCTTATTTTGGGATGTATCCTGATAGATCCCAAATATCTGATTTATATCTTATTTTGGGATGTATCCTGATAGATCCCAAATATCTGATTTATATCTTATTTTGGGATGGATTGTATTTTAGGATGGATTCCAATAGATCCCAAATATCCCATTTATATCTTATTTTGGGATGTATCCTGATAGATCCCAAATATCTGATTTATATCTTATTTTGGGATATATCTTATTTTGGGATGTATCCTGATATATCCCAAATATCTGACTTGTATCTATCTATTTGTATCTTATTTTGGGAAGTTATCCTGATACATCCCAAATATCTCCTCTCATTTATATCCTGACATATCCCAAATATCTCATCTCACTTATATCCTGACATATCCCAAATATCCCATCTGATTTCCCTCTTATTTTGGGATATATCTGAAGAATTCCAGGTGAGGGAAAACTCTCCCAAAGGGAATTACCACGTCAGGATTTCCACTAATTAATCACCATTATTAATGGTGATTAATAGTGATTAATGGTGATTAATCACCACTGTTAATGGTGATTAATGCAGGACAAAATCAGTGCGTTCGGATCTTTAGGGATCGAGTGACGGTGACTGAACTAAATCCCAGTCATTCCCACTGCTGGGAATTCCAGGTCCTGAAAGTCCCCTGCAATATTAAATAAAAGTTCCCTTCAGCTCCCTGTGGGATGGGAATATCCAGGCTGGGAGAGCTGGGAATGGCCAGGCTGGAGAAGGGAAGGATCCCGGGAGAGCTTGGAGCACATTCCAGAGGCTGAAGGGGCTCCAGGAGAGCTGGAGAGGGACTGGGGATGAGGGCCTGGAATGCCAGGCCCCAGGGAATGGATCCCAGTGGGAAAGGGGAGATTTGGGGGGGAGATTGGGAAGGGATTCCTGGCTGGGAGGGTGGGGAGGGGCTGGGCTGGAATTCCCAGAGGAGCTGTGGCTGCCCCTGGATCCCTGGCAGTGTCCCAGGCCAGGTTGGATCCCCTGGGATAGCGGGAGGTGTCGGGGTTGGAACGGGATGATCCTTAAGGTCCCTTCCCACCCAAACCATTCCCGGATTCCGTGAGGCTCCACGATGAACCTTCACCTCCCAAATTCCCAAATTCCCTCTCCAGCAGCTCATTCTCCTCCCTCTCCAGGAGGAGTGACTGGAATGACAGGAGTGACAGGAAAGACTCGTCCTCCTTTTGTCTCCTCCAAATCCCAAGAGACATCAATAAAATCCTGGAAAACACAAACTATTCCCGCCCGGTCCGTGAATTCCATGAGTCCTTCCAAGGGAGACATCCCAGAAAACCCTCGGCAGTGGGTTTAGGTGGGTCCAAGGGCCCTCAAATCCCTGCCAAGGGATCACAGGGATTCAAAAACACCTCCTTGGAAGCGGTTTGGAAGCCCAGCAGGATCCGGCCGGGAACGGGCAACACCGGCACCGCCAATTCCCAAAGGATCCGGGAAAAGGGGAATGAATTCCTCTCCCCGAGACCCAAAAAGCAGCAGCAGAGGGGGGGAGAGAGCCAAGAAAATCCCATCCCTGCGTCGTGGGCGAGCTCATTCCATGAAAAAACCTGGAGTGTCGCCGTTGCTGTGGCAACTTCCGAGGGGTGGGAGGGAGGATCGGCCAATTTTCCTGCCACGGGAGCGTCGGGAGAACATTCCAGGGGCGGGTTGTTCCCCGGGGCTCCCGAGGAGGGGTTGAACCTTCCAGGGGGTCGGAAGGTCGGTTCGATCCGCAGGATTTCATGGAGCGGCTCCAGGGAGGAGGAGGAGGAGGGTTGGGAAGGAGGGAGACACGGCACCAGTGGGGAATTCCCACCTGGGAACCTGCTCCAGCTCTGGGGTTTGGGGTCGGATGGTTAATCCAAGGTCAAGTGGTTGAGTGACCCCTCCCGGAAGGGCTGGAGGTGGGATGGGGGTCATGGGATCATGGAATGGGTTGGGTGGGAAGGGAACTTAAGGATCATCCCATTCCATGGGTAGGGTCACCTCCCGCTGTCCCAGGGAATCCAGCCTGGCCTTGGACACTCCCAGGGATCCAGGGGCAGCCACAGCTTCTCTGGGAATTCCAGCCCAGCCCCTCCCCACCCTCCTAGCCAGGAATCCCTTCCCAATCTCCCCCCCAAATCTCCCCTTTCCCACTGGGATCCATTCCCTGGGGCCTGGCATTCCAGGCCCTCATCCCCAGTCCCTCTCCAGCTCTCCTGGAGCCCCTTCAGGCTCTGGAATGTGCTCCAAGCTCTCCCGGGATCCTTCCCTTCTCCAGCCTGGCCATTCCCAGCTCTCCCAGCCTGGAGCCAGAGCCTGCCATTGGATCCATCCCCAGCCCAGCTCCTCCCTGGGAAGGAGTTCCGGGAACAAGGGGGTTCCCTGGGAATCTCGGCGCTCAGGGAAGGGTCTCCCTTCCCCTTTCCTGCCTTTTCCATCCCCACATTCCACAAAAATCCCTCTGAATGGATTCTGAGTGTCTTTCATCCTGGAATCCCAGACTGGTTTGGGTGGGAAGGGGCATTAAGGCTCATCCCATTCCGTGGGCAGGGACACTTCCCACTATCCCAGGTTGCTCCAGCCTGGCCTTGGACACTCCCAGGGATCCAGGGGCAGCCACAGCTTCTCTGGGAATTCCAGCCCAGCCCCTCCCCACCCTCCCAGCCAGGAATCCCTTCCCAATCTCCCACCTCTCCCTGCCCTCTGGCACTGGGATCCATTCCCTGTGTCCTGTCCCTCCATCCCTTGTCCCCAGTCCCTCTCCAGGGATGTTGTGCTCGGACAAGGAAGGAGAATCCTCCACCCAGCAGTTCCCGCTCTTCCATGATCCGTTCATTCCTCATCCCACACATTTGGAAAGACTCCCCGGAGGCTTTTTTGGGATGCCTGGGGGGTCAGGAAACACATCCCAAGGGATCTGCTTCCCGAGGGCCGACCGGATGGATCCCGGTCTGGCGTGTGTCCTCATCCCCTGGAGAGCAGATCCCTTGGGAAGAGGTGTCCAAGCCCCCCTTGGCACCATGGGATCCATGGATTTATCCCAAACTCGGCTCCGGGACCAGCCTGGATTCAGAGCTCGGACTCGAAAAAACACGGGAAAGGTTCGTCCTTCCCAACAGACTCCAGGGAAAAAGACTCCCAGGGAGCCTGGAAAAGCCCGTGGAAGGAGGTCAGGCCGCCCCTATCCGGGAATTCTTTCCCTAAATCAGGTGGGAAAGCTCGGTCCTAAGGGGCAGCCGGCGCAGCAGCTGGGAATGATCCCGGGATTCCAGGGAGAACCCCTTTGTGTTCCCTAATTCCAGCATGGAAGAAGAAACGCGGATTCCTCGGGAATCCGGCGGGAAGGGAAGGTTCGGGATGAGAACGATCCCAAAAAAATCCTCCCCGAGCACCCCGGATTCCTGAAACCACCCCGTTAATCGGGATCAGGAGCCTCCGGCCCTCCTGAGGACGGAGGGGAAAGGCCGGGAATGCCGAGGGGGAGCGGGAGCCGGGAATTACCTCTGGGCCGTGTCGCAGGGGGATCCCTTCCTCTTGCGGGAGTCGGGATTGGCGGGATCCGTGGAGCTGTCGCCCAGGCCGCTCATGGTGCCCCACCTACTGTGCGCCTGGAAAAGAGGGAAAACGGGGATCAGGGGGAGCTTTTTGGGGGCGGAAAACGTGGATCAAGCGACCTCTGGAGTCTTGGTCGTGGAATTGGGTGACTCGTCCGGGAAGGAAACCCGGGATTTTCCAGGTGTCCCCTCCCGGTCACCACGTGGCCAATCCAGCCCTCAACACCATTCCCAGCTCTTTTCTGCATTCCCAGGGATTTCACCTTCCCAAACCTACGGTATTTCACTCCCAGCCCATCCCAGGGAGTTGTTCTGGAGTCCGGGATGGATCCGGGTGGGTTTCCTCCTCCTCTCCTTCTCCTCCATCTCCCCCTGGTCCCTCTGACTAACTCCCAACTCCCATCCCTCCCCTACTGCTCCATCACCTCCCTAATTAATCCTGGGCTTTAATTAGGGAAAACATGGATCAAGTGACCTCTGGAGACCCACCAGGAGCCTTTCCTATGGAATCAGTGCCACGTTTGGGAAGGAAACCCGGGATTTTCCAGGTGTCCTCTCCCGGACACCACGTGGCCAATCCAGCAATCAACACCATTCCCAGCTCTTTTCTGCATTCCCAGGGATTTCAGCTTCCCAAATCTATGGGATTTCACTCCCAGCCCATCCCAGGGAGTTGTTCTGGAGTCCGGGATGGATCCGGGTGGGTTTCCTTCTCCTCTCCTTCTCCCTCCATCTCCCCCTGGTCCCTCTGACTAACTCCCAACTCCCATCCCTCCCCTCCTGCTCCATCACCTCCCTAATTAATCCTGGGCTTTAATTAGGGAAAACATGTATCAAGTGACCTCTGGAGACCCACCAGGAGCCTTTCCTATGGAATCAGTGCCACGTTTGGGAAGGAAACCTGGGATTTTCCAGGTGTCCCCTGCCAGTCACCACGTGGCCAATCCAGCCCTCAACACCATTCCCAGCTCTTCCCTGCATTCCCAGGGATTTCAGCTTCCCAAACCTTCGGCATTTCACCCCCAGCCCATCCCAGGGAGTTTTTCAGGAATCAGGGATGGATCCGGGTGGGTTTCCTTCTCCTCTCCTTCTCCTCCATCTCCCCCCTCGCTTCCTCTGACTCACCCACCCCTCCCCTCCTGCTCCCCCAACACCCTAATTAATCCTGGTCTTTAATTAGGGAAAACATGGATCAAGTGACCTCTGGAGACCCACCAGGAGCCTTTCCTATGGAATCAGTGCCATGTTTGGGAAGGAAACCCGGGATTTTCCAGGTGTTCCCTCCCGGTCACCACGTGGCCAATCCAGCCCTCAACACCATTCCCAGCTCTTTTCTGCATTCCCAGGGATTTCAGCTTCCCAAACCTATGGGATTTCACTCCCAGCCCATCCCAGGGAGTTGTTCTGGAGTCCGGGATGGATCCGGGTGGGTTTCCTTCTCCTCTCCTTCTCCATCTCCCTCCAGTCCCTCTGATTCACACACATCCCCCCTCCCTCCTGCTCCACCACCTCCCTAATTAATCCTGGGCTTTAATTAGGGAAAACATGGATCAAGTGACCTCTGGAGACCCACCAGGAGCCTTTCCTATGGAATCAGTGCCACGTTTGGGAAGGAAACACGGGATTTTCCAGGTGTCCCCTCCCGGTCACCACGTGGCCAATCCAGCCCTTACCACCATTCCCAGCTCTTCCGTGCATTCCCAGGGATTTCACCTTCCCAAACCTATGGGATTTCACCCCCAGCCCATCCCAGGGAGTTGGCCCAGAATCTGGGATGGATCCGGGTGGGTTTCCTTCTCCTCTCCTTCTCCTCCATCTCCCCCCTCGCTTCCTCTGACTCACCCACCCCTCCCTCCTGCTCTCCCACCACCCTAATTAATCCTGGGCTTTAATTAGGGAAAACATGGATCAAGTGACCTCTGGAGACCCACCAGGAGCCTTTCCTATGGAATCAGTGCCACGTTTGGGAAGGAAACACGGGATTTTCCAGGTGTTCCCTCCCGGTCACCACGTGGCCAATCCAGCCCTCAACACCATTCCCAGCTCTTCCCTGCATTCCCAGGGATTTCACCTTCCCAAACCTTCGGCATTTCACCCCCAGCCCATCCCAGGGAGTTGTTCTGGAATCTGGGATGGATCCGGGTGGGTTTCCTTCTCCTCTCCTTCTCCTCCATCTCCCCCCTCGCTTCCTCTGACTCACCCACCCCCCTCCTCCCTCCCCCTAATTAAAGCCCGGCCTTTAATTAGAGCTGACGAACTGACTCATCTCCAACACCTTCCCACAAAGCCCTTCCCGCCTTCCCAAACCCCCTCTCCCGGCAGATCTTCCCACCGTGCCAATCCCTCGGGAATGTCCCGGTTCCCGGAGCAGGGACGTTCTTCCCCCTCCTTCTTAGGCCGCGATTAACGGGGTTAAACCTGGCCTGGTTGGTTAAACCCGGCCTGGTTGGTTAAACCCGGCCTAGAGGAGAGGTCTGAGCCACCCAGGAAGGGCTGAGGGTCGGAGCACCGGAACATTCCCGCGCGTTAACCGGGAATTCCAAAGGTTTAAGCGGATAAATCCGGGTTTAAGCCGAACAAAGGCAAGGAAGAGGCAATTCAGGCTGAGCTTGGAAGCTCCGCCTTGGAGGGTCCTCAAGGGTTGGGCCTTGATGCCCTTGGAGGGACCAACTCCACCCCAAAAATCATGGGAATGGGGCTCCAGATGTTCCAAGGCCCTCGTGGAAGGGGTTAAATCCAGGGATGGAGCTTTCCCGGGAAACCAGCAGGCTTTGCCGGAGCCGCTCCGTGATTCGTTCCCAAGGCACAACCCAATCACTCCCCTTCATCCCAGGGAAAATTCCAGCAGCCAGCTCGTTTTCCAAATGGGTGGGAAAGGAACACCCATCCATGTCCTGTGGACTAAGGATCATCCCTAGGACGGTGCCAATCCAGAGGGGAGGTGGGAATTTTTAACATTCCTGTTATCCCTATGGTGTTCCCAATGCACAACCCCTCACTCCCCTTCATCCCAGGGAAAATTCCAGCAGCCAACTTGTTTTCCAAAAGAGCACGGAAAGACGGGAAGAGGAACATCAATCCACGTCCTTTGGACTAAGGATCATCCCTAGGGACGCTCTGATCCAGAGGAAAGGTGGGAATTCTAACATTCCCATCATCCCTGTCATGTTCCCGACACACTCCCATCACTCCCCTTTATTCCAGGGATTATTCCAGCAGCAAATTTGTTTTCCAAAAGGGTGGGGAAAGACGGGAAGAGGAACATCAATCCATGTCCTGTGGACTAAGGATCATCCCTAGGGATGTTCCGATCCAGAGGAAAGGTGGGAATTCTAACATTCCCATCATCCCTGTTGTGTTTCTGACACACAGGAACAACCCAGGGACAATTCCAGCTGCCAACTTGTTTTCCAAATGGAAGGGAAAGGAACATCCATCCATGTCCTTTGGACTAAGGATCATCCCTAGGGACGTTCCAATCCAGAGGAAAGGTGGGAATTCTAACATTCCCATCATCCCTGTCATGCTCCCGACACACTCCCATCGCTCCCCTTTATTCCAGGGATTATTCCAGCAGCAAATTTGTTTTCCAAAAGGGTGGGGAAAGACGGGAAGAGGAACATCAATCCATGTCCTGTGGACTAAGGATCATCCCTAGGGACGTTCTGATCAACAGGAAAAGTGGGAATTTAACATTCCCATAATCCCTGTCATGTTCCCGACACACAGGAACAGTCCAGGGAAAATTCCAGCTGCCAACTTATTTTCCAAAAGAGCGTGGAAAGATGGGAAGAGGAACACCAATCCATGTCCTGTGGACTAAGGATTATCCTTAGGGACGCTCTGATCAACAGGAAAAGTGGGAATTTAACATTCCCATCATCCCTGTCATGTTCCTGACACAACCCAATCACTCCCCTTTATCCCAGGGACAATTCCAGCAGCAAATTTGTTTTCCAAGTGGGTGGGAAGAGGAACATCAATCCATGTCCTGTGGACTAAGGATCATTCCTAGGGATGCTCCAATCCAGAGGAAAGGTGGGAATTCTATCATTCCCATCTTCCCTGTTGTGTTTCCGACACACAGGGAACAGCCCAGGGACAATTCCAGCAGCCAACTTGTTTTCCAAAAGGGTGGGAAAAGACGGGAAAGGCTTGGATAACGAAATAATAATAATAATAATAATAATAATTATAAATATTATAATAATAATAATAATAATAATAATAATAATATAAATAATTCCGAACGACTTCAGCCAGCGGGAAATCGGGAGAAAAACAACCCCAGAAATCGTCGTTTTCCAAGCTGTTTCCCCGAGCCAGCGGGCTTCAGGAGGAGGGGAGGCTGTGGCTTGCTCGTTGGACAACTCGTTACACTAATTGCAATCAGCGCCTCGTTACCTGCCGGGGACAGCTGGGCTCCGGATTAATTAACGGGAAGGGGAGGGGCTGGATTTTCCGACCTGCCTCCCCATCCCGGTATCCCATCGGTGTCCAAACGGGATCCCAAAGGGATGGGGTGGAGAGGAGGGAGAAGGGGATTAAAAAAACAACAAGAAAAACAGGAAAACACATCAAAAACTAAGGGAATAAAGGTCAGGAATGTTCCGTGGCTTTGGGAGGAAGGGGGCACCCACCGGTGCTGCTGCAGGTCCGGGATTTCATGGAATCATGGAATGGGTTGGGTGGGAAGGAACCTTAAGGATCATCCCATTCCGACCCCGGCACTTCCCGCTATCCCAGGGAATCCAACCCGGCCTTGGACACTGCCAGGGATCCAGGGGCAGCCACAGCTTCTCTGGGAATTCCAGCCCAGCCCCTCCCCACCCTCCCAGCCAGGAATCCCTTCCCAATCTCCCCCCCAGATCTCCCCTTTCCCACTGGGATCCATTCCCTGGGGCCTGGCATTCCAGGCCCTCATCCCCAGTCCCTCTCCAGCTCTCCTGGAGCCCCTTCAGCCTCTGGAATGTGCTCCAAGCTCTCCCGGGATCCTTC